ACTTATTAACGATATTGTAGGTAAATTAAATACAAATAACCAGTTATAAATTTAAATAAAGTCCATAAAGTAATGTCGATTTTGAAAATAGCTACTAAGTGTCACTAGAATATTGCCATGACGATACCAGCCATCTTGATTGCCATTTTATAGAAAAATCGCTTTTTATTCAAAATCTGACCCATGATAGGTATAGGAAAACCTAATATAGTTTAAAAGAGCATTTAAATCTGCTTTGACTTATTTAAAAAAAATACAAAGTGTTGTATTAGAAATAAGGAAGTTTTTATGTAAAATAATAATAATAATAGCTCCCGTGTATAGCGTTTGACGCCTTGGGAGTAGCAAGGTACAGCTTGCCATACTAGAGCCGTTCGGTATACAAGGAAGGTAAAGTGGCTAGCACTACGCTTCAACCGCCTATTATTACCTCAGGATTGTGAATCCCAAGTACTCATTTAAGGCTGAGTCGACCTAGGTACCCAAACTATTTTTATTTTAATAAAAATAGTCGGTTTGTTTGGTTTGGTTTCTACATCTTTCTGTTTTCGTGGCAAATGAGGTGCGCCACCCTCTATAATAGCATCTGTTAAGCTTGATTTTCATGCATCCGTTGTCCGACGCTACGATGATACGATATTAATTTTATTGGTTGAATTTAAAAGATTCGATTGGTTAACCGTTTCTAACTAATCGAAGCCTTTCAATTCAACCAATTAAATTAATATCGTATCATCGTATCGTCGGACAACGGATGCATGAAAATCAAGCTTTATTCGTGTACACTGTCTTATAACTGTATTGGGTATCTTGTCTCTTAGAGATATAACAATCGTTGCTCTTTCCATAGCTAGGTGTGTAATAATTATATAACTGACCCTTTTTTTCTCAAATAATAACCGTCCCACATCAACCCCATCCGCGTACTTTTTACGTCTCCTTCCGGCAATGTTGTTGCTCTCCCCCTTCTTTTCCCCACCTTTCCCTAATTCTACCCCTAATTCTCCCGATGTCAGTCAAGCGGCATTACCGTTTCACAAACACGCCGTATTTTAATCTCATCCTCCCTTTTTCTCCTCGTTTTTTCCTCCCCCCAGAAAAAGGGGAGCACAGGGATTGAGTTTTCTAATTAAGAACCGTTTAATACGTCATTTTTTTTTATTTCGCGAGCCAGTGGAGATGGGGGCAAGTAAGGCCGGACGAAGTAGAGGTAGGGAAAGGTAGGGTATAATTGCGCTTTTTTTGCCTCTTTTGCTCGGACTTTTTTTTGCTCTGAAGTGGTGCGGGGTTTCGAGTTGAGTGAAGAGGTGGTTGCCTCAGAGTTATATTTTAAAAAAGTGTTTTTTGAGGCTTTTTTAATTATTTTATCTACAACCGTTTAGTTATCACTATTTTTTTTAGTGTTTCAGTTACGTTATGAGATTCATAACACAACTAGTGGTGTTATGAATCTATAACACAACTAGTTTATATAATAATGAACGACGAACATCTAAATATATTAATTTTTGATACATATTCCTACTACTAATTATTATAAATATTAATAAGACATTTTTTACACTTCTTCAAAACAATTCCTGCTGCTGATGATGATGACGATGATAATACTGAAGGTCTAAGGTCTCTCTGTCACAATTATAATTAAAAAAATGTGACAAATGTTACAGTTAAAGGTGTTAAAGGTGGGCGACTAATAAACGAAAATTAAAACAGTATTTTCTAATTTTTCGGTTGTAGATAAAACGTTGTACATGGCACGTGCGTTTAAACATGATTACAGCACTCGTGTGATTAGTTTTACACTCGTTGTTGTAATCATGTTAAATTATAAATATAATATATAATTTAACTATATTATATATTATTAATAATATTATATTAATTATGTTTATATGTAGTTTCTGTAAAAGCCAGCTCTCTTAGAAAACGCAATCTCCATTTATTATAATTGTTTGTATTTTAATTTTAGCGATTTTTTATCGCTCGGCGTTTTTTATCGCTCTGTGGTCCTCCTCCAACAAACGACCCGTCAGAGGACTTAATTTGATGGGCCAGCCGTTAGAGGGCTTATCGGGGCCATTTTTACGTGTCTCGTGACGTGACGGGACACACTGCGCCACCTGTTGATCGTCGCAGGGACCCGCCGTCGCCCCGTCTCGCTCTCTTCCGTTTTTCGTCTCGCTTTCTCTCACACACTCTCCTCGCTCTTTTTTATTTTATTATATCGGAGAGCGTGTCGGCTCGTGAGGGCTTTTTTATGCAAATTACAGTTATCTATTTTATCGTCCTGACACGTATGTCGTCGCTTTTTATCGGCCAATTTTCGTTTATATTCATTTCGGCTGGCGTTGCGGCGTGGGTTATTTTTTTTTCGGGGAATTAAATTTAGAGAAAAAAAAATGTTGGAGTTAATTTTGAAGTGAAGAAATAAAAATAAATATTTAGCCTGTCTAATATAGTTATTTTTATACAATACGATAAAATGGTGTCTTATTGTCGATCGAAAAGATTAATTCACGAGCGATGAAATCGCGAGAGAATTAATTCGGGAGACGATAATGCAATTTTATCGTCGTGTATAAAACAATTTTTTTCCATAGCGAGTTACGTTTTAAAAAATATTCAGAAATTATTATTTCAAGAAATTTATTACGAGTAGAAGAAAATATTGTGCTGGGTTGGCGTTGGTTTCTATGCAAATTGACAAATAAATAAAGCTGTCTCTTTAGTTGTCAGTTTTGACTCAATCAGGAGAGGAGAGGAGAGGAGAGGAGAGGAGAGGGAGAGGAGAGGAGAGGAGAGGAGGAGAGGAGGGAGAGGAGAGGAGAGGAGAGGAGAGAGAGGAGGAGGAGAGGAGAGGAGAGGAGAGGAGAGGAGAGGAGAGGAGAGGAGAGGAGAGGGAGAGGAGAGGAGAGGAGAGAGAGGAGAGGAGAGGAGAGGAGAGGAGAGGAGAGGAGAGGAGAGGAGGAGGGAGAGGAGAGGAGAGGAGAGAGAGAGAGGAGAGGAGAGGAGAGGAGAGGAGAGGAGAGGAGGAGGAGAGGAGAGGAGAGGAGGAGAGGAGAGAGGAGAGGAGAGGAGAGAGAGGAGAGGAGAGGAGAGGGAGAGGAGAGGAGAGGAGAGGAGAGGAGAGGAGAGGAGAGGAGAGGAGAGGAGAGGAGAGGAGAGGAGAGGAGAGGAGAGGAGAGGGAGAGGAGAGGAGAGGAGAGGAGGAGGAGAGGAGAGGAGAGGAGAGGAGAGGAGAGAGAGGAGAGGAGAGGAGAGGAGAGGAGAGGAGAGGAGAGGAGAGGAGAGGAGAGGAGAGGAGAGGAGAGGAGAGGAGAGAGAGGAGAGGAGAGGAGAGGAGAGGAGAGGAGAGGAGAGGAGAGAGAGGAGAGGAGGAGAGGAGGAGAGGAGAGGAGAGGAGAGGAGGAGAGAGGAGAGGAGAGGAGAGAGAGGAGAGGAGAGGAGAGGATTATATATATTCCATTATAATCATTATAGTAATAATACTTTTCCAAAAAAAAAACACAGCTTAGCACTTAGCAAGGTTTAAAAAATATTTATAGTTTTCTACGATGTTCTCTATGGCTATCTCGGAAACTACTGAAGCGAAAAATACGGCTAAATGGGGAAAGATTGCAGTTTTGCGAGGACAAACATATGGACCTTTCAGATTTTTGAAAAAGTTTATAGCTTACTAGATATTAAAAAAAAACAAATTTCGGCTATTTTAAAAATGCTCTCATAACAAACCATTTTTAGAAAAAAACGACCATGTGTTTCTTATTAATTACCATCAGATAAAAAAAAACATTGCACAACCGCAGTGGGAAAATCACTGGATCCTGTAGTGGGAAAATCACTAGGGCCCCGCAGTGGGAAAATCACTAGGTACCCGCAGTAGAAAAATCTCAACGTTCCTGCAGTGGGAAAATCACTAGGTCCCCGCAGTAAGAAAATCACTAGGTCCCCGCAGTGGGAAAGTCACTAGGTCACCGCAATGGGAAAATCTCTATGTCCCCGCTGTGGGAAAATCACTAGGTTCCGCAGTGGGAAAATCGCTAGGTCCCCGCAGTAGGAAAATCACTCCAGGGTAATTTATGATATTGGTAATGAAGTGAGGAAGAAAGATAAAACAAGATATGAGGCTGTCTTTTACAGGGTTTTATTTTCTTTGCTTAATTTTCAGTGGTGAGTTAAACAAAAAAAATATATCCTACTATATATTAGTGAGCCACTAAAATTCGTAAAAGAGCAGTTGTAAGTTGTAATTTGCACCCAAGGGTAGGTAGACCTTAACGAGGCAGGTACAACAAACTTCGAAAAGAGGATAGAAGAGAAGGAGTAGGAGGAGGAGGAGGAACAAAAAGAGCCCCGAGCACTTTAAAATACGGTGGAGAGACTCTAGGTGGTATTGTGGCGGCAATAACGTTTATCTGTTACGGTTGGCCTACGTGACATATTGCCGATGCGGCACAATAAAAACCCTAGAGCATGCCGAGCAACGTATAAATACTGCAAGGCACGGCAAGAATAGTCAGAGGGCATTTGTGAAGCTAACTGATTTTGTCTATGATTCTATTTTTTATTATTTATTTAGGTTCGCCATCCGGTAAGCAAAGAGACACATTTTTTTTTCACCAAAATATCAAAATTTTGTCTTCCCTCGTATAATTGACAGATGGAAACTTTCATTATAATTTAGAAAGAGATACTAAAAAGTCAAATATTTTTTTTTTAAATTTTTAAGTGCCCGTTTTTTACCAATAAATTTTAATTAATATTAACATTGTATTTAATTTCGAATTTGGGGTCCTGCCATTATTATAGTAGAATAGAATTAACTATTACTGCTTGTTTACATATTTTAACTGTTTATTTAAACACTTCTGAGACAGTTCAAATATGGAGAAAAATATTTAATACCTATTTTTTTTAAACAATTTCTTATATAATAATTATTTTATGAATAATTTTGTATTTCTACTTTGAATAATTTATATTCTATATAAACGTACCTGGTCTCTGATACCGCTCCAATTCCCGAAGCTCTGCTCCCTTCGAATACCTGAAATCAAAAAGACCACATCAATAGACTGCGGGGTCAAAAAACAGGGATAGATAAATGGAAAGGGTCAAAATTCTTCGAATTTTATATATTTCTATTGAGATAAAAGGCTTTAAAATATGCAATGCTTACTTTGCTCATTCATTGTTTGTTTTTTAGCGAATATTAGCAATTTTTGTCACAATATATTAAATTTAAGTCGCTAGCAATACATTATATTTCTCTAAATGGCTTTCAATTAAGTTCGAGTTTTGTATCCAGCTCAGAAAAAATAGAAACCATTGAGAGAATTGAAATTAAAAAATATTACTCTCTAAAAATATAACTATTATCCCATAACTCAACTTTCCCGGATATTCAACTCTCCCGAAACAATATTTTATAGGTTCACAGTTTTTCACACCGATTTGATCAAAAGCAAAAATGAATTCAAGCAGTTAGTTCGACGAAACAAGTGAGTAAACAAAGTACTCGTTACATAATCAAAAAATTAAACAGACATGTACAGGGTGGGTAAAATTCGACGCTTTTAAATGGAAACACCCTTTTCTATAGGAGATAGACATCGTATTATTTGCTAAAGGAAGTGCCGCAGTTCGTTATTAGAAAATACTTTTATACATTATACGTTGTGTAAAGTATATTTTGTAAGATTTGGTAGTTTATTTTTAATTTTTAGTTAGTGTCAATGGTTAGAGAATTTTAAAATTGGAAACAAGACATTGTTTGGAAGTATTGCATTTTCCCAAATTTCCAACTTAATTAACATTTTTGAACCTATTGGCAAATGGTTAAAAATTGTAGAAGGAGTTTACAACATTATTCCTTTTGCTGTAAGAACATTTTGTGATATTAGAAGGGTAATTCAGAATAATCTTGCATTGTCTTCAGTTGACGACAAAGAAAAATCCGAATTGTTGGAGTTTGTGGACGAAAGAGAAAAATTTGCTATTAAACCCATTCATTATGCTGCAGAATTACTAAATCCAAAATCACAAGGTTCTGAACTTGATGAAACCCAAATTCTTTCTGCCATAGAATGCATACTTAATATATCAAAAAATAAACTCAATATAAAGGAGCAAGAAATAATAAATGAAATAGCAGATTACCGTTGTAGAAGAGGTAAGTTATTTGAAAATAACTTCATATGGAAAAGTAGTTTTGATAACCCAGTCTCCTGGTGGAAAGGACTATGTTCTTCATCTTCATTATCACAAGAAGCTTCACGTCTTCGGCTGCCACGGAACGCAGTTTTAGCGTGTATAGTATTCATTACATATTCATTCAAAAAAGAGAAACAGGCTTACTAATGATAGGGCCGCTAAGCTACTCTATATATCCCAAAGTATATCCCACAATGAAAACTTGCTGAAGAAAATAGGAAACGGCAATAGATCAATTTTTATTTCCGATACTATTGAAGATTTTGAGGAAGTAGATTGGCAAGAAGATGTTATTGAGTGTGATGCTGATGACAGCGATGAAGATATGCCTCTTGCTCGACTGGTGTGTCAAAAATAATTTTTTTTGTACAAATTTAACTTTAATTTATTTTTTAATTTGAAGAATAACTCTTTATTTGTGTTTATGTATAAGCATTTTGTGTTTTGCGATATTTTGTTATGATTTTTATAAATAAGTATTTCAGTTTTTCTTATTTTTTAAAATATTTCATATATTTGCAATATTTCCATATATTTCCAATGTTTCAGCAAATATTTCCGTAAATATATTTCTGGAAATTTTACATCACTAACTATGAGAGGCTAAAATATAATTTTTAATATTAATAGTATACTTTTTTAAATCCAATAGTGATTAACTATTTTATGAACATCTTCTAAAATTAGTTAGACCTTTTGAAGATATCAAAATATTTACATTTTTATTTTTAGAATTTTCACAAATTATACTTTCTAACACTTTTAGAATAATTATCTAAAATTTTTCGTAAACTGGCTATTTAAACCTGTGTATTTTTGTGTATACTAGTTGTTTACGATATTCTCCGATGGTGGCAGCACCGGCGGCGGCGGAGAATGCACAAAGCCTATATTTTTACTTTCTAGCAGCTTCAAAATTATCCAAACCAAAACCATAAAAAGTCAGTCCTCCGGTATTTTTTATTAAAATATTTAAAATTGTTAATCCGCCATCGCCCCTCCTTCTTAGCTTCCCCCTCAAGCCCAAATTCGGAATGCTAATCACCCTCCGGAATAATTAATTAGCATTCTTTCTGTACTTCAAGTGACGATGCTTGGGTCCAGGGCTTTCCTTGGTTTTCCTCCTTCCAAGCCTTGATTTCCCGGACTTTTTCCAGCATTAAATAAAATTAAAGGAGATTTAAAAATGTGGAGATTGTAGCCGGGGCTGATTGGCATTGCGGCTGCTGGCTGGTGCATTCGCTTTTGTAATAAAAGTGCTTTCAATTACAAGGGACAAGAACAGGAGTTTGCATTATGGATTTTCAGCCCTCGCAGGCTTTGAGAGTTGGTAAAAAGTTGTTTTTTTATTGTTTTTATCGAATTTTTTTCATGATATGTTTATCTTATTCGGTTTTGTCGGTTATTAGAAGCATTTAGTTTGGGATGTTTGTATGGAAGTTGACTTGCAAAGTATTTTTCAACAAAGTACTTGTACTATAACGAGTCTAATGAAACTTTGCACTCATATTAGGGTTTCGTGATAGATTATTATTTATTAATAATAAATATTATTGAATTTATGATCACAATTTCGAGGTTCTGAATAAGAATTTAGTACATACTAATTTATATAATACTAGCGTGTACCCGCGACTTCGTTCGCGTCGAATTAATCATTTGTAATGGTGATTATAAAGCAAAGCAAGAATTTCCATTAAAACTGGGTAAAATATTCTCACATTTATGTCAGCATTGAAAAAAACAATATGGTGATATTATTCTATAACTAATATATAATTGAGGTAATATAATTATATATATAACTAATATATATTGAGTAATATTTGAGGGGTTGTTTCATCTCCTTGGAATTTGACTTTCGAAAAATGCATTTGCCAAAAATAATCTTTTTACGTCAAGCAGTTTAAGCAGAATCGTGGTTAATCAAATACCCAACTTTTTGTATGATTTTTTAAACAATTTTAAAATATGTAAAAAACAAAATAAATTATGCGTGTCCAAGCGTTTTCCCGAATGACTAACCGTTTTTTAAATAAATTTGGAATTTGAGATTCGAGGAACCCCTCCTTATCGAACCTCTACACTCCACAGTCAATCCGTTTGCCAAAAATCAGCTTTAAACGTCAAGCAGTTTAAGCAGAATCGTGATTACTCAAGGGTCATATATTATGAAACACCCTGTATATATTTATTAAAAATCTTAAAATATGTAAAACAACAAAATAAAATATACTTGTTTAAGAATTTTTCCGAAAAACTCCCCGGTTTTTAAATAAAAAATATCGGAAAATCTCTTCTTATCGAACCTCTACATCCTAAAGTCAATCCGTTTTAATCAATCCGTGATTAATCAATGACCAGATTTTTCGAGGCACCCTATATACATTTCTAAAAAAATCTTAAAATATGTAAAAAAACAAAATAAAATATACGTGTTTAAGCGTTTTTTTTCGGAACCGTTTTTTAAATAAAAAACATTGTAATATTTGAGGGGTGGTTTCACCCCCTTGGAACTGGAGTTTCGAAAAATCCCTTCTTGTCGAACCTCTACACCCTAGAATCAACTTGTATGCCAAAATTGAGCTTCTTACGTTGAGTGGTTTGAGCAGTATCGTGATTAATCAGTGAGTCAGTCACTTAAGGATTTGATATATTAGTGTAGATATGATTTACAATTAATTATTACTACAGTTGATATTTCCACGTTAAACAACAGGGCAAAAAAAAACAAATTTTTATTGACGTCTCCCATAAATTTTTAAGTTAATTAGTGTATTGGGAAGTTATACAAAAAATGCCGGGAGAAAAAGCTTGGCTCAAATTAGATTGGGTATCGTGTCAAACCCCACAAATAAACAAGGGGTGCATATTTCAATATCTGACAGACAGTCGTGGAATAAGCCGCCCTTCTAAAATTAGTTCAAGCTCGAATGAAAAACTGCTTTTATTTTTCGAATGCTTGTGTCTATTCATGGAAACGCTAAATTAAAAAAATAAAAAAAATGAATATATTTACTTTTTTCCATTGCAACTGTTAAAATTGACTTATATCTGTCAAAAATACTAGATAAAATAGTACTTTAACCGCAAGGGTCGATTAAATGATACTTTAACAGCGAGGATAGGTTAAAAACTTTATTTCTTCTCGCACGTTTTTTAATTGCTTCCATTTTTGAACATTTTTCTATTCCTTTTCATAAGTTATTCGGGATTTAAATGGAAGTAGTTTGGATAGGGCGTTTGTCGCCTCAGCCTGAATATCTGTTGGTAATTTAGTTATTTAGTTTTGAGCCATTTCTGGCTGCAATTCAATCAGCAATCGACCCGGAAGAGTATTAAAAAATATTGACTCAAAACTGACATCTAAAGAGACAGCTTTATTTATTTGTCAAATTACATAGAAACCAACGCCAACCCAGCACAATATTTTTTCTACTCGTAATAAATTCCTTGAAATAATAATTTCTAAATATTTTTTAAAACATAAAAAAAATATAGTTTTATACACGATGATAAAATTGCATTATCGTCTCCCGAAATTAATTTTTCTTTATTATTCGGTCGACGATAAACTACTATTTTATCGCCTTGGATAAAAAATAACTATTATTAATGTTTTTTAATAAACATCGAGAAACCAGTGTACCTCTTAAAATCATCCGACATGTTATTTAAGATCCTCCTTACAGTATTTTTTACCTAAACATACATATTATATTCCCGATGGTTGATTTTACAGTTTTATCACCCTGTATGTACCTATTTTTTGAAAATAAAAAAAAGTTTCTAAAACAAAAACCAAAATGGACCAAAAAAGAAGTATATAAAAGT